TGCAGGGTGATAACTCTGGTACATTAAAAAAAAAGTTGCTAACAGTATGCTAATGTTTGTATAAATCAGTACTTAGCCTACGAAATTAATTCACGAATTGTGCTAGCTTCGCTTTGTATTTGTCAAAACTATTGGCATCAGTATTATCACTATTACTCTTTTTTTCTTCAGGTCTTGGGCTTGCTGTTGCTGTTTGCGAACCCGATAAATGTAGATCCAATTGTGACAATAATTGCATGCCCCTTCGGAATTGCAGCAGTGGTCATTATTTTTGTACTATGGAATGTGATGAAAGCAATTGTGGACAACAAATTTGCAGGGCTGATATTTGTAATATGAAAAATAGTGGGGTCGGGTGTTCAAAACAGCTATGCGAAAATGCAAAAGTGTGCACAATGCATCTGGGATGTAGCAACGACGACTGTGAACAATCTTGCAAGGCCACAACATGTGATATGGAATGTAGCGGAGACAGGTGTACAAAACAGGCATGCGAAGATGCAAAAGTGTGCACAATGCATCTGGGATGTAGCAAAGACGATTGTGAACAATCTTGCAAGGCCACAACATGTGATATGAAATGTAGCGGAGGCAGGTGTACAAAACAGCTATGCGAAAATGCAAACGTGTGCACAATGCATCTGGGATGTAGCACAGAGGATTGTGAACAATCTTGTAAGGCCACAACATGTGATATGGAATGTAGCGGAGGCAGGTGTACAAAACAGCTATGCGAAAATGCAAAAGTGTGCAATATGCATCTGGGATGTAGCAGAGGGGATTGTCAACAATCTTGCAAGGCCACAACATGTGATATGGAATGTAGCGGAGGCAGGTGTACAAAACAGCTATGCGAAGAAGCAAAAGTGTGCAATATGCACTGTAACGGGGATAATTGTGCACAGACGTGCAGAGCTACCACATGTAAGATGACTAGAAACTGGCCAAACAGTTCCCAGTATAGGCTAATATGCTCTGGAAAAGGTGAATGTTGTGGATCTCACATGTCGTCCTACGAGACATCGCCTCCCAGAACGAGAATCCTTCATAGCTGT